AGGGAGCCCGATGCGGGACTCGATCCCAGGACCCTGGGATCATGACCTGAGCTGAAGGCAGTCGCTTAACCAACTGAGCCACCCAGGCGCCCGGCAGGGAAAGAATCTTAAGCAGGCTCCACACCCAGTGCAGAGCTCAGTGGGGGACTCAATCTCATGATCCTCAGATCATGACCTGAGCCAAAATCAAGAGTCAGAGGCTTAACTGACTGAGCTACCCCCAGAAGCCCCCCTTTGCCCATTTTTTTAATTGGGTTATTTGGTTTTATGCTATTGAATTGTAAGGAGTTCCATATATATTTTGGAGATTAACCCCTTATTAGTTACATATAGTTTGCACATATTTTCTCCCATTCTGTAAGTTGCCTCTGTGGATTATTTAATTTATTATGCAGAATTTTTTAGTTTGATGTAGTCCCACTTGTCTATTTTTGCTTTTATGGCTTGTGCTTTTGGTGTCATATCAAGAAATTACTGCCTAAACCAATGTCATGAAGCTCTTGCCTATGTTTTCTTTCAGGAGTTTTATAACTTCGGGTCTACGTTCAAATCTTTCATCCACTTTGAGTTGATTTTTGTATGTGATGTATGTTTAATGGTTTGGTTTGGGGGAGTGGGAAAAACAAAATGAAATATAAGAACATTTTCTTTTAAAAACATAAAACTTGAAATACGTCATTTTTGAAATAAAGGGATATGTTTCATTCTCTTTTGTCAAAATGATTTAACATTGTTTATGGATTTTGCTCTAAACTACATGATGTGCAGATGCCACTTGCAGACATAGTCCCCTCTTAGAGTTTACATCCTCTTAGGCTTTTTAGCTTCCATCAGTTTACCTGGAATAAAGCTAAAATTTGTTTGAAGCAAATATTTGAGACTGTGTTTCTAAACTTTAATGTTCATTTTCCCCTGGTGATCTTGTTAAAATGCAGTTTCTGAATCAGCTGGTCTACCTAGGGCCTGAAATTCTACATCTTTACCAGGCTTTCATTTTGCTGGTCTGGGGACTAGATTTTAAGAAGCAAGGGTTTAGATGAAATGGAAGAGAAAATACCTGACTTTCTGATCATTGATCCAGCTAACAATACTGCATGACTAGTCTATAACCTGTGGCTCCTTTAACAGTGTAGGGGAGAAAAGACTTTCCCTTTGTTCTCCTAGGTTCACTAACTGGGTCTATAAAATAAATTGACAACAGGCAGATTAACAGGAGCAAAGGCAAACAAACTTATTAATTTTTAATATTATGCACACCAGGGCATCACAGGAAAAAAAAAGTGAACACCCAAAAAAGTGGTGAGATTTGAGAGCTTATATGCCATCTTTAACAGAGGAGATATAGGCAACTTAGGGGAGAGTAAATTATTTTTAGGAAAGATGAATGGGCTGTTAGAAGAATAGATAGGAGATATGATAATTTGTGACAAAGGTTGTGTGGGTGTTGAGTTGACTTCTAGTTTCCTCCTAGTGGTAGGAGTCAGTCCCAGGAAGGGGATTTATGACAATTGAATTCCTTTTGAAGGCTCTGTCTTTTAGGCAGAAAAGGAAAGTTCAGAGAAAGCCTCCTCCTGTATCTGCCTTTACTTCAAAATAATCACTATACCAAAGTGACATGTTTTGGGGTGGCATGTCCAGAACTCCTTCAACAGCCATACTAAATTAAAATACTTGTTTCTTGCTATTGGAACTTTACCCCTGAACTGCTCTTGCTCCTTAAACATTAGGAGGCTTATCTCTTAGAGGCATATACATCTGTGAACAACGTACACTCACATCTTTGTTAATATTATGAGGGCTCTATACTCAGTGATTAGTCCTGGACTTTCAGAAGAATTACAGTCCCAATAAAAGAAGAGTTCTTGGCTCTTTTAATATGACAAAATGCATAAATAAAATGTAAAAATTATAATTGTAAGATAACTCTCCAGAATATCTAGATCTCATTGTAGAACAATTAATAATGAATAACGAAATGGTTATATGAAATCCAAACACTAATAATGGTAAGTACTTAATCTACCACAAAGGAAAAGCCCAGTCAAAATACCCTTCTTGCACCAAAATACATGTTCAAAAATCGATATTTGCATGCCCAAGACTTGTTTGAAAAGG